GCTCTCTCAGATCGACCCGGTCGAGTGGTAATTCTAGACCCTGGTCCCTGGTCAGCGGAGCTGGCATACCTCGTCAAGGTTAACTCACTCGTTCCGTCCTGAAATTCCATCCACAGAGAAGCACGTCGCGGCACGAGGGGAGAGGGAATCCGTATGGTGGTGAGGGAGAAAGAGAACTTCTTCTTCTTCTTCCTCCTCCTATGTTCTCGTGGCTCGGGGAATTCTGGGTTAATGGCACCGCATTACGATCGCGTGACTTTACCATGAGATCCATGCGCGCGATCTGGATCACACTCGGTAGAAGAGAAAGAGGGGGGCAAGAGTTAATGCAGTGAGATTCGAATCGATCTTGAATATAATACCACCGCGCGGATGTACTCTGCATGTGAGACGGAGCGGATAGGGTTCGATCGGCTTGGCCGATTTGCCGAGGATGTAATTATGTTTTTCCGTGATACACGGTTATGTGTATCTGCGCGTGCGGCACGTGAGCCATCGAGACTTCGCCGTGGGTGAAGAGCGAAGTCACGGACTCCGTTTTCGAGGGACGGGGGTAGAGAGAGCGCAGCAATACTCTCGCAAATATTTCAGTCTGAAGTTCACCAAACAAAAGTTCAAAGGTAGGATCGATAGAATCGGTGTTGTTGGAGCGTATATAATAAATATACAAAACGTCCTATTTCAATCAATCTCCATTTCCATCAATTCGAGAAAGTCAGTTCTCTTTAATCGTAGTTTGCTCCATTGCCTCTATGCAACTTCCGAACGTTGAATGTTTCGATAATCTAACTTGCGGTTAAAGAATACAAAAGCACTCTTTACTCCGTTGCAATAATCAACGTCGATATCTAATATAAAAGATGTTAGCTTTCGAGCACTCTGTATATGCTTTCTCAGCCGTGAGTCACTGCACTCTCACTGTTAAGAACCGTACCGAGCGGTCCGATTCGAGACGGTTAAATTGAGAAGAAAATAAACGAACCATTACACGTGCCAAGTGCATTTAGAAACACATCACTAAATCAAGCCCGCGATTGCCATCTTTATATAACCGTTAAAATCCCGCGAGCCGGTTAGAGATTCACGTATCGCAAATATTTTTTTCGAAATTTCGGTGATTTGGACGCGCAGTCGTGTCTGCATTCGAGTGAATATGCAAGCACGGAATCGATTGTTTGACGAATCTCTCGTGATCTACAGTGACATAAACATCACTGTCAACGATCGACGTTGGAGAGACGTCGAAAATGAGACACAGGAATGACTACGCGACGGGAACGAAACGAGGTCGACCCATGATTAATTATCTATTTTTGCGGGAAGCACGTCGACGACACGCTCGAATCGCATCGATCGCGCGAGAGAACACACCGCGATCGTGTTTATTTTTATCGTCCCACACGCGAGATATGCCTGGAATACATTAAAACGATTCGTCAACGATATCTATTTATCTATATCGAGAAGTCGGAATTAATCTCACTCCGGCGTACATTAATTCGTCTTAAATGAGATGGCATTTAAATTAAATTTTCCGATCTTCGGATAAATGTCGAGACGGTTTTGACGCGTGGAATTATGCCGGTAAATTATCTTTCGGCGTAATTAGCCCGCTCTCAAACGGTCGCTCACATCTTCTGCAACGGAAATACCCGTGACTATTTCTTAATGAAACGTTGTCGTGTAAACGAGAGATACGACCTGGTGAATAATATCGTGTTTACGCGAAGGTATACGCGTTAAACATAGCGTTTGAACGTGCGTTTCTGCGGACACGTATCCTGTTCGGTGCGCTTCGCCGATGATTACGCAAACTCTCGAGATTATTGCCTTCACAGTCCTGCGTCCCTATGAGGAAGGACATGCGAGACCAGGATACGCCGGAGGCGATCATGTTTCCCGCACGTGTACGCCAGACAGAGGGCATGTCCTTCCATTGCCCGTTCCATGAACTGCCCCATAAGACATACGTCAAAGTGGAAAGATGATAAGGACTTGACTTAAAGGAGAACAGGAGCTCGCCCTCATTCCTCTACTATTACATTTATATTTTTATAAAATGTTTCCTATATGTAATTCTGTATAAGACTGAATAATAAATTTATTAGTTAACATACTTAATTTTTTATAATTTATATCTTAATATTAGAGTATCTTTTTCTATTCAAGAATTTTTCCTTGATATTCGATTTTTTCTTGATATTCTTCTTTCTGGTTAAGTATCATATCACATTAAATTTTAAAATGGATTTTGCTGAAGTCTTTTCTGTCTTTTCAGGTCAAGCTTTCTGGAAATATGTACTGTAATCTGGTTGATATCTTCCAACGTGTATACCTAGCAGCTATTCGTGAAGAACAACAAATCATCTCGATTTCCCCGGAGTGGGCAAACAGCACAGAACGTTGCGAGATTTACGCAAGACGTGCCATTAATGCATGTCGATGGCTTGAAGCACGATTTTGTGTTTCTCTTTTTCCGCGTATGCGTTTATCCGCGCAAAGCAGATATAATAAACGAAGATAGCTGAGAAAATAACACTTCTCTATCGACTCGCGTTCGTGTTCGATCGTTGTCGGACAAGGATCACCGCAAAGACGTCTTAATCACAAAGTGATTATTCATTAATGCGACTACAATGTTAAATAGATAAAAGTATCTAGAATATATATCTTGTGAGAGAATTATAATAGAAAAAATATTTTTATTGTAGAAGAAACATTGTAACGAATTTGTAAAGAAAATAAATAAAAGACGTACATATATATAAAACACATGAAGTATTGTTTACCTTCGTAACTTCCAATTTTTTTATTTGCAATATATTTAAGTAATTATTGCAATTATTGCAATTTTGTCAGTAAAATACCTTTCATTTTCATAAATATCGGATAAAGTTTTAAATATTCCTTTTAAGATATCAAAAGAAATTTAATATTCATACATTAAATATCCCTGTAATTTTTCTTCCTTACAAAAAAATATGACTTTATTCATATGTACGCATGTCGGATTTTCTTGTACGATCTAGATATTCTAGATCGGACTCACGATTCACATGACTTTTGTTTTTAAGAAAGTAATAGCGTGAACGGGACACCGTCACGCGTCTCGCACGCATCTCGTTTCAGAGTCAACTTCGAACACATATCGTTTGTGAGTTCCACAGCCACATTTCTTCCAGATCCTTTTCCGTCTCTTTTTTTTCTTTGTCGAGTCAGGGAGGAAATAATTACGGTGCCCATTTAAGAACCGGTTTGACTCCAGTTTCTTTCCCTCCCCCCTTCGTCCCTCGCGAACGCTCTTTGACGCGAGCCGCCGTGCCAACGCGGAGAAATACAGAGAAGAAAGAAGCGGAGGGAATGAATAAACGAAGGAGAGAGAAAGAAAAATAGAGGGAAAAGGAGAAGATCGTGTACGAAGTGTTAAGAAGGAGACCGGGGTCGACGGATAAAATCGCATAGGGCACAAAGGCCGATGAGGGTGAAGAAGAGCCGGGAGTGCCATTAACGGAAAGGAGGAGCGCCGTTTCTAAATACGACCTAGAGACTAAAGAGAGAACTCATCGAGGGATCGCCTGTCTCGAGGAATCCCAACTTATCGTCGCGACTACTCGCTCCGATTTACTCGCTCACCCTACCACCGCGCTCCGGTCGTTTCCCAAGAGGAAACATCGTGTCGATTTGGAGCACAAACACGATTACTGTCACGACGATTTGACAAGCCGGGCTGAAAATTCCCAGGTGCTCGATACTCGAAAAGAGTTGGAAGATTCTGAGCTAACCTTTCTTTCTCTCTCCTCTCTTTCCTTAATTACATCGGATGGGAATAATTTTTGTAGCGATCTTCTCTTCTTTCATCGCGAAGGTCTTCGACTCGTTAGAAAACACGAATCGCGAACCGCGTCGAGTTTTCCTCTCTTGGTCTTTTTTTTCTCTCTCTCTCTCCCTCTCACGAGCGAGCGAACGGGTGAGACAGGTAGGTAGGTAGATAGGTTTGACTTGCAAATCACTCCACGCGCGCTCGTTCTTTCGTCTCGGTCTACCTCTTTTTCTTCGCCTACGTACCCCAATCGGAAATTTCTGACTTAAGCCATTACTTACAACGGGCGCAGTACTACACCTGTAATGGCTTGCCACAGTTGGTTGACCCGTACAGGCACGGTACTGGTTACACTTCAGTTTCAGTACTGCGCCTATGTCAAAATACCAGCACTGGCATACAAGTCTTGGCCCAGTATTGGCGTAATTCTGGCTTAATAGAAATTGAGTTTATGATGGCAAACCCGTAATATCATACAGCTATGTCAAGCGTTGGCAGAATACTGACATCCTACGGGCTGAGTTCAAAGTATTGACTACTCATATATAGAGTTTTACAATCGGTCCAGTACTGGCGTAGTACTAGCAAACTAAAGGACTTAAGTTTTCCATCTCCAGAGGTGTCGCCGGCGAAAGCAACACGCCGCGAGCCGACTTAAAAAAATTTCCAGTAAAATTTGCTAATACTGACAGTAATATATAGTGTATAATATCCATACCAATAATAATTAATTAAAATAACGTATAGAAAAAAATGGTACGGGCATCCATTTTATTCAATAACTTTGTAAAAATCAATATTTTATATTGAAACTTTAATGATTATAGTCATCAAACTGTTTTTAAATAAATTCTAGACTCGCGGCGTGTTGCTTTCGCCGGCGCCACCTTCGAAAACGGACCAGTTCTGGTACAGCACTGAGCCAATTGTAAAGCCAATACTGACAATGAGTCAACGTAACCTTAAACTTGGGTCAACGCACAAGAAAATCAGAACTGTAAAGTATACTTAATGTCACGTAATGCGTTTACGGAAAAGCTTGTGCGGAGGCCCTTTACGCGTTAAAGTAAGTTAAGTTTCACGTGGCGCTTCAAATAGCTGCCTTGTGCGCGCGGTTGAGTTTGATTGGCTAGTTTAGCCTCGTTGCGAGTTTCTCTTGTGTGATTCGTCATCTGATCACATGTAAACGCGTTTATTGGTCGCTTGAGATAGCTCTACCGACATCTGTTGTGAACCGTGGTAAGGAGACGAAGAAGAAGAAGGCGCGAAGGCGGTACACGTTGAAGTATTTCGTCTCTTGTGCGGACCGCGAAGGATCGCGAAGTTTTTTCTACATATAATTATAGCTTCTTTTACAGAAGAAAGAAGCCCCGGAGCCGATCAAAAATACCTACCTTGCGTACTGGAAATTGAACGAGAAGGAAGACACGAGGAAGTGGATTGTTCGTACATATTTTGTTTCTGATCATTGCGACACATACTGAGTGAGTTCTTATAATTTATTATAAGAATCATTAATGGATATCAGAGGTGTGATTGAGAGAGAGAGAGAGAGAGAGAGAGAGAGAGAGAGAGAGAGA